TGTGTGTGTGTGTGTGTGTGTGTGTGTGTGTGTTGTACAGTGTGTAGGCGTGTGTTGTACAGCGTGTAGGTGTGTGTTTTACAGTGTGTGTGTGTGTGTGTGTGTGTGTGTGTGTGTGTGTGTGTGTGGTACAGTGTGTAGGTGCGTGTTGTACAGTGCGTAGATCAATCAATCAATCAATCAATGTTTATTTATATAGCCCAATATCACAAATGTTACATTTGTCTCAGTGGACTTCACAGTTTGTACAGAATATCAGTATGACAATACGACACCCTCTGTCCTTAGACCCTCACATCGTACAAGGAAAAACTTCCAGAGAAAACCCACAGTTTAAAGGGAAAAATGGGAGAAACCTCAGGGAGAGCAACAGAGGAGGGATCCCTCTCCCAGGACGGACAGACGTGCAATAGATGCCGTGTGTAAATTGAAAAGATAATACATTTGCAACATAGGTAGTCCAAATGTTTGGGAATGCATGTGTGTAGATGCGGCGGACAGACGGGTCTCAGTTGGTTTGGTGTCCTATGCTTACTTTTAATACTTGTAAATAAAACTTTTCGCCCATAATTTAAATACCCCATTTCAGCGACCAGAGAGGGGGGTGGGGGGGGGATATACGTACAGTTGCAAGAAAAAGTATGTGAACCCTTTGGAACTACCTGGATTTCTGCATAAATTGGTCATAAAATGTGTTCTGATCTTCATCTAAGTCACAACAATGGACAAACACAGTCTGCTTAAGCTAAAACCACACAAACAATTATATGTTTTTATTGAACACACCATGTAAACATTCACAGTGCAGGATGGAGAAATGTGAACCCTTGGATTTAATAACTGGTTGACCCTCCTTTGGCAGCAATAACCTCAACCAAACGTTCCCTATAGTTGCATATCAGACCTGCACAACGGTCAGGAGGAATTTTGGACCATTCCTCTTTACAAAACTGTTTCAGTTCAGCAATATTCTTGGGATGTCTGGTGTGAATCGCTCTCTTGAGGTCATGCCACAGCATCTCAATTGGGTTGAGGTCAGGACTCTGACTGGGCCACTCCAGAAGGCGTATTTTCTTCTGTTGAAGCCATTCTGTTGTTGATTTACTTCTGTGCTTTGGGTCGTTGTCCTGTTGCATCACCCATCTTCTGATGAGCTTCAATTGGTGGACAGATGGCCTTAAGTTCTCCAGCAAAATGTCTTGATAAACTTGAGAATTCATTTTTCCGTCGATGATGGCAATCTGTCCAGGCCCTGAGGCAGCAAAGCAGCCCCAAACCACGATGCTCCCTCCACCATACTTCACAGTTGGGATGAGGTTTTGATGTTGGTGTGCTGTGCTGTGCCTTTTTTTCTCCACACATAGCCTTGTGTGTTCCTTCCAAACAACTCAACTTTGGTTTCATCTGTCCACAGAATATTTTGCCAGTAGTGCTGTGGAACATCCAGGTGCTCTTTTGCAAACTTCAAACGTGCAGCAAAGTTTTTTCTNTCTCTCACACACAACCTGCCACTAACGTTAAACCCCTTTACTATTCAATTAAACACATTCAATGTTTATTTATTGTAAAAGCAATTGGGCTTTTTTAATCTCACGCACACACACGCACACACACACACTTCTCCGCCTCATTCCGTTTTCATTTACTCGTTCGTTATCTGACCAGCTTCAATCTTGTAGGCTACTCACTTCGTTTCTTGTAGCCCTCGAAAGGGATTTGGAGGTTGATGCCTCGGTGAATGTGAGTTGTTTGGCTTTCTTGTCCGCAGCAGCAGAAAGCATTTTCGAATGTTTGAATGAATCAAAGTGGGTCGTCACCGTCGATTTTCTCTTATGCTCCAACACACAGTTGCACGGGGTGCAGAATAGTTTCCCACCACTTTTTGCCCGGTCTTTAGTAGAAATGTTCGTCGGTAAATGAGATGGATTAGATTTTTTCATCTTGGTGTTTTCTCTATCGTGTGAGCTCCACACGTTCACTCTATACAGTGTTGTTTACATTCTGTGATGCGCGAGCTGATGACGTCACGTCAAGACGAGTCAACTTTTTTTTTCTCTCAACTTTGTGTGGAAAAATGCGGGGATTATGCGGCCTTTTGATAAATATGCGGCCTTTTAAACTGAGACTGCCAAGGCACACAGNTGATGACGTCACGTCAAGACGAGTCAACTTTTTTTTTCTCTCAACTTTGTGTGGAAAAATGCGGGTATTATGCGGCCTTTTGATAAATATGCGGCCTTTTCAAAATCTGCGCCATTTTGCTGATTATGCGGTAAATTCTGCGATCGCAGAATCGCGTTTTTCTGGAGGGTCTAACTTATGCAGAAATCCAGGTAATTCCAAAGGGTTCACATACTTTACATAACGGTACATTAGGATATTATGCATTTTCTTACGTAATAACCATTCAATGCATTACAAAACACCATGTAATCCAACATATTTAAAAATATGTTATTCAATATAGCTGTTTAATTGTAACTGATACAGTCCCTCCATCCTGCGTGGGACTCAAATTACACACCCAGGGATTACTAGGAGGATGCATGCATGTGTTTCTGATTGATAAAAGCCTCCCTGTTTACTGAGCACTCTCCTACAGCAGGGCTATCGATACTAACAGTATCAGCAGCCATATCAATATGTCGTTTGGATCTGTCTCATGCTAGATTATGTTTTGAACAAATGATCTCTGCTCTTTGTGCAAACACTCTTTGCTCCAGGAAAAACACTCCCGCCCTGCGCGCAGCATGAGTTCAGATCGTGATCGAAAGCTCACAGCATGATGGAAAAAGGCCAATTATTGACTTTCTTCTTTAATAAAACAATGCGACGCAATGAGTCTTTTCAGCCCAGTTTGTTTGTCTGCTCTGTAAATGGATACAGCGGCTGCTCTTGCATTGCTCAAGGAGCTCCTATGCCTAGTTCATTAGATACAAGGGCTGAACCCTTAAAGGAATAATAACTTAAAGCTGCTAAAAATCACTATTTCTATATCAACAATGGAACAAATGAGTGGGTTGTGTGAAAGTAATTTCTCATACAGAGAATGATGCAGTTCCCCTCAGCACTAGAGAGTGTGTTAGCGTCTTCCAGCTCACTGTTTTTGCTTTGCGGCTGGCAACTTCACCGTTTGGCTGCAGTCTCACCGTTCTAATCAGGACTTTCTCCAGCCGTGGCTGAGCCAGAATAAAAGAAAAACATGTTGTACAGTACCTGCCTAGCATCGAACGGCAGAAAGACAAAGTTAGCGCCCCGCTGGTGAATTTAATGGAGCAATTAGCAGCTAAAGAGAAAGAGAGTTGCCTCAGGAGTAAGTGGTGACCAAAATAGAGTGGGATTTGTCCACTTAATTTGAAAAAAAGCAGTGTTTGCTGTATCCACTTCACAAAAGATAATAATATCTGTTGTTTACAGCTGGGTGCAATGCCTGAGAGCAACCCAAGTCAGTAACTGCTGTATACGGTGGCAGTTCCTTTCAAATTTCGTTGATTGTAGTTAAACCTTGTGTCAAGTTGTAATTTTATCAGTTGTCATACTTCCTTATTACCTACAAATAAAATGGTGGTGGTCTAATTACAATAACACCTTTATATCATTTGAGATTTGTGAGCTGAAGACGGATTTTAAATAGCACAGAAGGTCCCAATCGGAATACACAAGAAGGCAAATAAGTCAGCTGTGTTGTGAGGAGGATTTTTTTTCTCGGCACAAATGTCAACACTAGTCATTGCTTTAGTTGCCTGCAGTAGTTAATTAGCCGTGTGATATTTTCTGTGAAGGCTGAAGACACGTGTTAGATGTTCTGTCTCCGACTATGTTTCTGAGAAATATCGCAATTTGAGTTAATTCAGGAATGATTAACCACAGTCGGCTGAACATGGATGAATCCTTATTAGAGCTGCGAGTAATTATTGTTTTAATTGTATATTAATCTACAGATTGCTTTTTCAATTAACTCATTACTTGTATGGGATTATTAAAAAAAAACAATTTCAATTTCTGTCATTCTTCTAATAAGGCTTCTTCTACACGTATAATAAATGTAATGGATTTTCCTGACCTTTTGACTGCACAGCTAGAGTCATGTAGTGGGCAGAGTAGTGTTTCTTCCAGAAAGCACGCAGCCGCTTATAGACATTGATCTTCTTCTCCTTTGGCTCCTGCTTCAGCGTCTGGGCATTCCCTGGTGTTGTCAAAAGTAAGCAATCAATTCAACGTTAAAACACTGTATACAAAAAAACAGTTTACAAATGCTGGGATATCAGCAAGAAAAGGGAACTTGGCGTCAGTCTTAGAACTCCTGTTTGCTATTGCTGAACATACCCCAAGGAGGCCCTGTGTGTATTGTGTGTCCCAGTAGTTGTGTTTACCAACTCACCCCAGCAGAATTTGCCCATAGGGTGTCCAGGTTTGGCCAAACTGCCGAACAGCATCTCCTTCCTGTGGGAGTCTGACGGCTTAGCCAGCTGGTACTCTGACAGGGTGGAGGAGAGAGGCAGAAACATTTGAGACGACAGAGAAAGACGGTGATGTGCGTGAAGAGCTGGTGAGAGGAGAGCTCAGCTACGCAGAGGTTTCAAAGATGTACTCCAAATACAAAAAGGTGAACATTTCAGAAACTAGGACTCACCGCTGTCCACGGCCTCCACCTCCCTGTCGATGGCATCACGGATCATCAGAGGGCAGATGAAGAACTGAGCCCACCTAAGAAGGGGAAAGCACAGAGAGGATATAATCAGAGGCCTCATGCAGGCCAGAGATAAAGGACACAGGTCAGACTGAGGCAATCAGATGCCGACAGATAAAGACAACTCCAGGATGCTGCGCGGCTGATTGAGCCTGTATTGTTTGTCACATCAGGAGTCCGTGTTACACCATATCCTGCGATTCATCAGATTCTGAGACATGTTTTCAGCAGATTTGTTTTAAACTGTATTTTATAGGTATTGGAAACATTACAGCATCAATTTAGCAAAGCAAAGTAACAGATATCTCATTCAGCTCTAGTAAAACTTCAATCAGATTTTCGCATTTTTACGCTTGTAGTTAGTTTGTCCTTCATCCTGCCAGCTATTCCTCTCATACATGCTGACACATACATTTGCCTACTGTCATTTTTATTGGGCTGTCGATCATGAAATCAGCTGTTTGAAGGGGCCCTGTTAAGTTTTTTGGGGGGGGGTTCTCTTGCCTGTAGTATGTTATATAGGTTTTTGTGCATGTAAATGGTCTGAAAAGGCTAAAATCCCAAAGTTCCTTCAGAGGGAGGTTCTCTCCCACACACTCCCTTCCCCCTCCCTAACTTCAGTTACTTAGTGACATCAATATGTAATACTCAGGCTTCTATTGTCTAGCGCTTCAACAAATTGTACATAATAAGGATAAGGGACATCTCTAAGCTTTTGACCAATCACAACAGAGCCGACCAGCTAACCAATCAGAGCAGACTGGGCTCTGGTTTCAGACAGAGGGTGAAAAGAGGTGCTGCAGCACAGGCAGTATGAGAACAATAAAGAGCCTTTTGAACATTAAAGCATGGAGACATGTCAAAGTAGGATGGAATAATGATAAGCAGGTCTTTCATTATCCAAAAGAATTCAAAACTGGTAAGTGTGTTTTCTCTGCAAGTACAACTTTACCAGGAAGGGTTTCGTCATGAAGTTTGAGAAAGCTATCTCTTTTTGCAATAACAGTTTTAACATGTTCTTTGGAGTTTACTTTCTCCCCTGTTTGAGTCTCCTGTGTATTTGGTTTATCTGAAAATCATTGGACGGTTCTCCAGGAGTCCACTTCTGAAGATCAACTGCGCGGAAGATAATAAAAACTCGAAACCTCCCTCACCTGTCAAGAGCCTCTTTGAAGCTTTTCCTCTGGACGTCAAACTGGAAGATGGTCCTCTCGCAGTCGGTGGAGGCGTTGTCGCTCCCACCGTGCTTCTTCAGGAAAGCATCAAAGCCGTTCTCGGAGGGGTACTTCTCACTGCCCATGAACACCACTTGGACACAATGAAAAAAACAGTAGGGGGGGAGGGAAGATAACAGTTGTAAATAAAACAAAGAAATCCACCAAAGCTCCTCCATTTGTGGTTTTCTTATTTATGTGGAAGGCTGGCCAAAAAAAACTGTGTTGCATTATATATATCCCACGGTGAATTTGATTTCTCATTTGGTGACAGTTTTGATGACAAAACAGTCCATTAAAGAATGACCAATGCTTTATTAAATAATACATTTAGGATGAATACTCAACAAATACATCAGAAGAAGAGACGAATACAACCATTTCTCCACTGTGAGTAGACTGGAATGCAACCCAAAGGATATTTTGCATTTCAAAGGAAAAACTCCTTTCCTAACCTAATTTAGGTTGCATGGTGAAGGGTTTGCTGGGAAATGTGAGAAATGATTAACTGAAGTAGAAGCAGACAAATCAGGTTAAGGAAAAGAGGGTAAACTGAATAATTTAAAATAACAAAACAACTCCTGGAATGCATTAAATATGGTCGCTTTCCCTGATGTTTCCTTTTTCCGCCCACATCAAAAAGGAGTTTTTTTCTTGTCCATATCAAAAGCGGCTTATATGTTAAATTATATGGAGGTACATTTTGATTTGTGATATTAAAAAGAAGACAAAGGACTTCACTTGAAATGTGATGCAAAACATTAAATCAGAATTTCCTTTTTTTAAACCGTCCTTGGTTGATTACTTACTGTGTTCCAGAAAGTGAGCCAGGCCAGGGAGGTCATTTGGGTCGCTGAAGCTTCCCACTCCAACACACAGAGCGGCTGCAGACTGACACACACACACAGGATATAGAGTCATGTTTGAGTCTGGCACTGAACTCAAAGCCTAAGTCTGGTGATTATAAAGTCTGATATATATATATAGCTTATTTCTCTGTACCAAACCCCTTTGTTGTGAATTAAAAACAGTCAAAAAGACATGGATGAGCCAAACCCTAGCACTGTGTGAGATGTTTAAGATGATTAAGAATATCTTTATGATGCAATATTTGGGTGAATTGTGTCTGAACTGCATGTTGTGCTGTATACGGTGAGTGTTGCTTCGGTTGACATTACCTAAGTCCATTTAATGTAAATTGAATGGAAAATACAATAATCTGAATAAGAATCCTTCTTCTAAACCTTAACAAGAGGCACTGTGGTTAACTTTGAATCATTTCCTTGTACACTTTGCCTTGCATAGCAGCTACATTTTCACAAGATCATTCAACAATTAATCTAATCAGGTTTTAAGTAAGGGGTTCATGTCAGCGTCCTGTGAGGAGCTGCGCTTTGATGTGACGACACGGAAAGTCGACTGTTTAAAACATCAATGCTGGCTCCTAAAGAGGTCTGCGTAGATGTTGCAACAGCATCAGTTATATCATAACGAGTGAGTATATATTTGTTGAAAGAAGAGCGAAGAATGACACGAAAGCCTTTACTCTATGAGCAAGATGTTTTCAATCTACAAGCTGATGGACAGATGGTTCATTCGATCACCTGCCAAATAGTTTTTGAAAGTGCTTGACCTTTTTAAAACAGTTTCCAATGACGGCTTCTCAGATGGTTCTGTGTAGCAAACCATCTGGCGCACCAGGTTAACATACACCCTTATGTTGCTGTGAATATTCACACCAAATTTGTGTCTAAAAATAGCCTCTAATAAATGCACTATGTAAGCTACTTTTATTAATGTTGGTTACAAAAGAAACTGCCCAGGCTTTCCAAAGAACTATTAGCCTCGTTTCATTAGGAAACTTTATACAGGAATGATTGGGAATACAGCTGAGGGTTACAGACGGGGCAGGAAATGAGTATTGACATAAAACTAACAAATGAATTGTTTTTGTTCTTTTTCATGTCCTTTTTCCACAATGAGAAAAACATATCCTTTAAGAAGCTGAAGCCTGGGTGTTTTAGGCACAGTAGTGAAAGGATATCCATTCAACAGAACCGACAAAAATAAGACACTTCATACCTGCTTCTCTGAACATCTTTTCTTCTTCTTCCCCTCATCGCCATCCTCTTCTCCATCACTGCCCCCCTCCTCGTCATCATCTTCCTCCTCAAACTCTTCCTCCATTTCATCTCCAGATTCATCGTCCTCCTCCTCTTCTTCTTCGTCTTCCTCATCTGAGTCGTCGCCTTCAGACGGTGCTTGGTTGCTGTAGTCTGAGATGAGCAAAGCTCGCAGGCCGTTGTCTAGCACAATATATCTGTAGGGAGAAAGTTCAAAGCATACAGAGCAATACAAAAGTGTTTATTTCACGAGTGTTACAGCATTTATTGTTTTTACTTATTCTGAAGGGTCTGTTCAATCAGATGGCTTTTTGCAGAGTGAATCTCATATCCTTTAGGACACTCTTCTACTATGATTTTCCACAGTACATTTCTCTGTGAATGGCCCACAGAGGCCTGAGGCACTGGCGTGTGCTCATAGCATGAAATCATCCCATCAAACTACAATAATAGTGTACGGATCTAGCTGGATAAGAGGCGAGACATCATTTTTAGATCTGGGTTAGTGGATCTGGGTCATTTTCTTTTACATTAATGAAAATGAGAACATTTGAGCCTGGCATGTGCATCATTGCATGTTAATCATATTACTAAAGGTGAGGGAGGATAAAGGGCAGAATCAAGGAGATAATCATTTAGCAGCGTTAAAGTAAAATGAATAATACTCAGGATAGCCCCATGTAGTATGATTTTAAGTTGCTTTACCTGTACTGTTTGGGGTCACTGGGGGACTTGATGATCTCGCTGTCTCCAACATTGTCCTCTCCTCCTCCTCCGTCCCCTGCAGCCTGGCACTGCTCCCGGGACACCTGCTCTGCATCTTCTGCGGTGGCTCCACTTTGGACCGAGGCTGGGGTGATTCTGGATTTCTTTGTCTGCGGCATCTTCAGCACAGAAGATGAGAATTTTGCACTGCGGGCTGACAGCAATGCGCGACCATAAACAACAGGACAGGTCGCTTTAACCGGTAATTTTCTCCTCAGCACAGAAGCACACCGTGTCAGCCTGAACAGAGCTATGGTGAAAAGCCTCCCCGACGGATGAGTATCGTCAAAATGAAAGCTCAGAAACCAATGGGACCGCAATAACACAGAGTAACCTGGACCCCCTCTGTGGAAGAGGCCTATAGGTTTGAAACTAGACGGTTCACTCACACAGCAGCCAGCGCCCACAATACAGCTATTCACACAGGCTGTCTGGTGGTTTCGCCCTATTCAGCTTATTGTCAGCTAAAAAACCAGCCAGGCAGACCAGCCCAACCTAATGCTGAACCTCTAATATGCACAGCAAGACTCGACACAGCAAAACAAAACCAACACGAAGCAGAGTAAAAACTGCCACGAAGTATCCTATACATACAGAGAAAGAGTAATGCTTGCTACAGGCAGTACAGGCTAACCAAACAACTTAGTGCAAACAAACTCCTACACATATTCTTTAAAATAGCCTTTAACACATTATGTTAACAGTCTGTTTCAAGGCAAGCCGAACTGAAACTTTAATAGCTACTTCATGAAGCCGGTGAGGCAACAATATATCCATACCTTCGCTCCTGTTTACAGCATAAGGGCCTCTGTATATGTGAATACTAGTGTCTCCTCAACAAGGCACACTCTGATTGGCTGAGAGGATTCAGAGCTTCAGTAGGCTTCTCTCCGATTGGTTCTAAGCTCAATGGGGCGTGGTTTCGGTGCTAACACGTGCGCGCAGGCCAGTCAGGAGTGGTTCATTTGTGATAGCTGCAGAGAAACAGACAAATAGCGGCAGCGACAAGTAGCCACCTTGATGTTACCAGCAGCTGCCAGCCATCTGTTTATGATTATGAATGCTAGATTGAGAATGTTTAACCGACCACTTGTCATAGCCGGTAAATGTAATTGCTCCCCTCATCTCCTTAGCCAGTATAGGAGGTCAGAAGTGGATTGGATGTGAATTGTCTTGTCAGCTAGCCACATGGCAGCCACAGTGGGATTGTACCCCCCACCTCTCCGCGTGCACCTGTACGAGGCAACACGCTGGGATAATCGGTTTAGGGTCCGCTAGGTGGCATACATAGGCCACGAGGGGTGTTAGGCAAATTTTACCACTTATATTTAGAGAATTTTAAATGCTTCCAGGTATTTTTTGAAATCGCTAACAATCTGCATTTCTTCCACAGAATTTGGTGTTTGAAATGTAAAAATGCCCTTACTCAAAGTGGTCCCCTGAGACATCAAAGTAAGACAGGTGTTGAAAAATGGTTTGGAGGGGGACTGCAGAGAAAACGATAGGTTTTTTAAACAGAGATGACAATTGAGTTTAGGCACAGAGAAGTGGCTAAACCGAAGGCGAGTAAACGAAAACTAGATAAGGTTTGCTGAATTCGATAAATGATCATCTGAAAATTTCAGTAAACCCTCAAACCTTAAATCATAGTCAAATGGTTGAAATCTTATCATGAATAAGCCACATTGACATTTGTCCAGTGCCCTTCCTCAGCTCTGCAGCGTGTTGGCATTTCACCCCTCTGCTGTGCCAATATGTCCTCCCCCTCACTCACCAACTCTCTCTGTCTGAAGCCAATCTGATTTTCCCCTGGGCTTCTGTCGGCAGAAAGAGGTGATAAACACCGCAGCCATGACAACCGGCTAGCCAGACACCCGCCTGAGTTCCCGTATCCTAATGGCTTTAACTTGGCATCCTCCCCTCCTTTAATTCACCTGCTTTTAAGGCTCTCGGGACGAAAGAAGGCGGCATGCTTCCACTACAGTTAGAGCTTTGAGCGCATTCTGTATAAGCTAATGGTAGATCTATCAACATGCAAGATGAGACACTGTTATCACTAAAACCTCCACACTGCTTAAAATAGAGCTTGATTAGTCACTGAATAAATATTTCCTCAGTCTGATTCAAATTAACAGAAATGTTAGCATATTGATTCCTAGACTTAGCTCTAGAGGAGTCAGACAGAAAATGAAAGTACTGGGCTGATTCTCACAAATATATCCTATTGATCACTAATGGAGCCCTTGTGAGAACACTTTGAATGATGTTTTCAGAGCAAAGTTCTTGCACCCGGTGTACTGTAGCAGCCCTGGTGTGAGTGCAGAGTCGTTTGCTCGGCTGAAATTGCCTGGCTGCGGTAAAAAGCAAAGATAAGCAGTCTATTAGAACTGTGTGAAAGTGCTTTTACATGCCTCACCACGTGAAAACTTTCAGAGCACAATGGCATACTCGTGTTAGTGATCGATTGGCCATCCCCTGCGAACCATGAAGGGCCCCTTTAATGCCAACACACATGGTATTTTCATGGTAATGTACATGGAATTGTCGCGGCTGCTACATGAGCTGTCGTAATTCCACCTTTTTTTTCACTTTTGTGCCCCTCTTTATGACTGAGCTCAAATTGAAGTTCAGATCATGCACCTTAAGGCTTCTCCAGAAAAAAAAAAATGTGTCTGTGTGAAAATGCAATGTAGAATGCAGCCAGCTGAATAGTAGGTATTATGAATTTGTCCCCTTCAAGTCAGCTTCCGAGAGAGACTTTAGAGGCAGCAGCATCGAGTCTTTACCTTACCATTCCAAGGGGGCAAGGTTCCCACAGCAACTGATTTGAATCCTAATTAAAACCGGGGATTTGATTAATGAGCACAACGATGTGCATGTGTGTGTGTGTGCATGTCGATGTTGCATGGCTCTTTGTATGTGGCATGTGTGTGGGAGTCAGCATGTTCTTGTGAGTCACGGCGTATCTTGTGTGTATGCTAAATGAGGAGGGGGTGTTGTATGCCTATGCTTGTGTGTGTTTTCGTGTGTGTTCATGAGCCTCTGGGTAATCCTGAGAATCACTACTGTGTTTTGAGCAAGTGTTACACATGTGTGTGTGTATGTTTCATGTCTCCCGGGAGGCTTGTCCTTGCCTGCAGTACCACTGTGTGAATCAGAGGTGAGTCCTCTGGAGTTGTCCTCTGCTTTAATCTGCAGCTAATGACAGAACCACCTGCCCTCCTGGCCATCCTCCTCCTCCATATCTACCCCCTCTATCTGTTGGCTCCTCTCCCCTCTCCCTTCACCACACATCTCAGCCAGCCCCAAACTCCCAATGCTCATTGTCTCCCTTTCACTCTCTCCCACAACTAGCCTTTTATTTCCCTCCTTCCCTCCCTCTCCAGCCTCCTCTCTTCCACTTGCTTTCTACTCTTTCCCACAGAGTGCATGATGCCCTTGCCTGCCTCTCTGATTGCCTCATCCCACTGAGTAACTAGATACTGGGGGCAGTGAGGGCCCCAAAGAAACCGAAACACGTGTTAAGGGACAGCGCAACAGTATGTGAACAACGTTCAGCTTTAAGGAGATGTTCTGACCCATGCATTGGCAGGGGAGTGGAGCAAACCACGTTCCTGCTCTTGTCAGTTTGTCTGCTTGTCCTCAAGTCTGGAGTGTGTGTGCAATCACGCATGCAAGCCAGTCCCGGTGGATGTCTCGGGAACAAAAGCATAATTGGAGAGAGCTGCAAAAACGAGATGACCACCACTTCCTGCAATGTGTCCACAGTGGAAGAGAAGGAGTGAGCAGGGGGAGAAAAACAAAAGGGAGGAAATCAAAGAGAGAATGGCGTGTAAACCAATCGGAATTGACAAGAGCCCACATGAGAATCAAAGTGAAAGTAAAGAGGGGAAAAGGGAATGGAGAAAGGAATAAAGGGGAACGAAACAGAAGAAATCTGCGTATGATCTGACAGAAATAATTCAGTTGAGAGAAAGGAAAAGGCTTTGGAGAAGCAGAAAGCGGAGGAGGAAGAAAGGAGAAGTGGCTGAAGTGAAACAGCATGAATCCCCATCCATTTCAACACTGGACAGCTCCACAGACAGCACTAGGCCAGTATAAATAGATCCCCTACTTTAGAGGCGCCGTCAATGCTCCAAAAAAGTGCTTTATGTGCTCGGAGCGCCTCATGCCCCTGGAGAACAGACGCTAAGGTATCTGATGGTGCCTGATAACCATCTTCTCTCAGTTCCTCTCCGTTTGTTTTCTTAATTTAGGGAGCTTCCACGGTTCAACTACAACACTACGGTGAGGAAAGAGAGTGTTTTTCTCCCAGATACTCCGTCACGGCCACTGTAGACGATATAGCCTCAGGTCTGGGATCACATTACCCCTGCCACAGATCTAGCAGCACCAATCACAGAGCTGACCTCAGTGCCAAAAATCTTATTTTTTAAACATCAGCTGCAACCCTGCATGTTTGAAGTGACTTGAATGTATGCATTTGTCCGTATAGGCAATCTACACAAATGCATGTGTAGGCTACATGTGGTTGTGCATACATGCCCAGCAACTGCCATCCTGTTTCCATTGCAAGAGAGCATTAAGTAGCCTTGTGGGGAAGCTGTAATACAGCCTAATGCACCTGAGAGCCCTGAAATCTATAACCATCATCTACATCTTCCTGATATTACTGGAACCGTCTCTGTTACTGTTGTTTCAGATAGGAATCTCCAGGGAGAGCTTTCCCCTCCACTGCTGCAGGGAGAGGTACAGGGGGGGTTTAGGAAGAGGAGGGAGAGGAAGGAGAGAAAGAGAGTGTGTGTGAGAGGAAGGAGAGAGAGAGTGTGTGAGGCAGAGATACACCTCTCCATTTCCTCAAGGTGATTCACCTTAATGCACGCTGAAATCAATGTGAAATTGAACTGAAAATTGAACTTTCGGCAGAGTAATGTGGAAGACATGTTGTTATTAAATCTTTTCCTATAGCCATGTAACCGGCTGACTGATATTTGAACGCTTCTGAATGCTTGTTTTTAACACTGTGGCACCATGGTGTCCTTGATGGAGACCCTGCTATTGGTCCTCCCGGGACCCCTAGACTTCACAAGGGGGCATACCTGCCACTTAGAGGCAGTATTGATGTAGCAGCAGGCACGTATTGGGCTAAAGCATGCATTCAGTTTTGATGGTGGGCTTCATTGCTCTAAATCTCCACGACATCTGTTGCGCCCACCTCCATTTGGCGAGATAGGTGTTTTGATGCACCCGACCAGGCGTCCCTGTAATCTCTACTGTTTTCTTCATAAAAAGTCACCACCTTTTTCCCGACTGCGTGCTCACTTGCTCCAGCTGGCACGAGTCGCCATGGTAACACACACCGGTTTTCACGAAATTCGTCGCTGCTTAAGGGCAAGAGGAGAGATGAATAAACTAATGAGATTATAAATTATTTTCGGTATAGCTGAACAGTCGGGGCACTGCACACGTGAGGAGAAAGTTTATGGGGCCCATTGTGTGTGAATATTGTCTTCTGTAATGTGTTTAAAAATGAGGAAGTAACTGGAGGAAGCCACCCCGCGCCTCATAGCCTATAAACACATTCGCGCCGCCTTGCATGATCAATTCCGGCCCCGTCTGTCCCCCCTTCTTCTTCTTCTTCTTCTTCTTCTTCTTCTTCTTCTTCTTCTTCTTCTTCTTCTTCTTCTCCTTTCTCCTCTATGAATTACCCAGTTGTGTTTGAGAGGAAGAGAGGTTTCTCCGTTTCTCCACGCAGGCTACAACTCCGCGT